CAGCAGATCATAACATGAGTCCAATATGATTAGATAAAGACATCTGTTAAAACTTAAAATTAACTAAAAATAAATAAAACTAAAAATAGAAAAAAAGAACAAAATAATTGTCAAAATAACTAATCAAATAGTAAAAAAAATCAAATAATCCCAATTAGTTAGGAAAAATAACTAAAAGATTATAAACAAATTAAAAAAGAAAATAGAGAGAGTATAAACAATAAAACAAAAATAGAGAGAAAACATAAATTTATATTAAGAAACAAATATGAATGATAAAACAAAAGAATTTTTATAAATTGAAAAACAACAGATTAAAAAATAAGTGTACTACATACCACATACAAAATAAGTCTAAATAAGTCTACTACATACAAAATAAGTCTACTACAAATACAATAAGTCTACTACATACAAAATAAGTTTATTACATACAAAATAAGTCTACCACATACAAAATAAGTTTACTACATACAAAATAAGTCTACCACATACAAAATAAGGCTACTACATACAAAATAAGTCTACTACATACGACATACAAAATAAGTCTACGACATACAAAATAAGTCTACCTCATACAAAATAAGTTTACTACATACAAAATAAATCTACATATAAAATAAATCTACTACATACATACAAAATAAGTCAACTACAGACAAAATGAGTCTACCAGATTACCACATACAAAATAAGTCTACTACAAAATAAGTCTACACACTAAAAATATTATAAAATATTTAAATAGGTTTTTATGAGATTATTCACATAAATTTATTGTTTGATAATTTTAAATCTAGAATATTTTAATTGATACAAGGCTTTATCGTATAGTAAATACGATAAAAAACTTAACATATAAAAAAAGCGTATTATAGAAAAAATAACATAATTTTTTAAAAAACCGCGCACAATTAAACTCATTTTAAAGATTTTCTTGCAAACAAATTTCTTTCCTCATCATGTTTACCAATTTAGATCCAAAATTTAGTCATTTTAACATTATACTTTCTTTTAAAAATATAGAGTCAACACACAAAATCCCAATCACGAAAAGACCCATTAGTCCAAAGCAAATTAGCAAAAAAATCAAATAAAATTGGAATGGGATCGATTTGGGGATTACATATAATTTTACTGAAACAGAGAG